GTTGGATTTATCCAAAAAAAAATTTCAAAATTTTCATTCCAATCTTAGACTCTAATTGAAACTTCTAATATTTCCAAAATCATGGATTCATTCAACAAAGAAATCACACTCATATCAATTATTTTCATGCAAAGTCCCACTAGACGAAACAAAAATCCAGCAAGGTTTCATGCAATCCACATAATGCAAAGAAATTATCTAGCTCACAGAATGGTGTTTCACTTTTCACTCATCATTGTTTCAAGCTAAGTGTTTTCCCTAAATTCATGCATTTCACCTCACCCTACTATATGCTTGCCCATATTCTCAATCTCCTTTCCCTAGATACAATGAACCACTTATCATGAGGGCTTTGTTTGTCACAAATGGGGTTAGGTTAGGTTCAACTTTGATCAATGAAGGTCACAAGCTCAAGGGGGTTTTTAAGATAAGGGAATTTCTTTGAGTGAATGAGTACAATAACTAGAATAGAATGCATTAAATGATGCAGCAAATGAGATTCAAACATTATTTCACCATAGTTTTCATTATTTTGCCTTATATGGAAATTCTTTCCAACTCAAGGCCCTTGCTTTATTTTTTTTCTTTCTTTTGCATTCATTCATCATCATTTTTTATGGACTTTGACAATCATTCTCTTCTTCAAATTCAAACATTTTTTTTACATGTATTATTAACATGTATGATGTTCACCACCCCAAACTTAAGATTTTGCTTGTCCTCAAGCAACCACAGTCATAATCAGCACCCCAAACTTAGTTTCTTGCATTCACTCTTGATGCAACTCAAAAGAAATTCCTTTCTTAAGGTAAGAAAAATAGTCTTGCAAACTAAGTTTGGCAAAAATCATAATTTGGAACAAGGTAATTAGGTGCAAGACTATTCTAGGGTAGATAAGTGTGTGCAAAGAAGGCTTCAACCATCTAGATGAAAAATTGCACAATGCATATTCAGTTAAGAACCAGGGCAAATTCTAGAGGATAGATGCAAAAATACATGTAAAGTGCACATAGAAAAAAATTTAAGGCTCAATTCTCTACCATGGTAAAAAGTGATAATTACTTAGCAACATGTGAGTACAGTTCACCTTACAAGAAAATATGTTCAGTATGGTAGGAACAATAATTATTCACAAACAAAGAATGATCATGAGTTGAATGGGAAGTGCAATCAGAACAAAAAATTGGAATTACAAAACTGGAGTGAATTAAAAGAGAAAGATAATGAAAATATTTTTGTTTTTTCTATTTATTACTATGTAGAAAAATTAGACTAAAAACATATGAAATAAAGGCAAAGAGATCACTCCCCTTTCATGAATGATGGCTCACAATTCAGGGGTCAAATTGATGCTCCTCTTCATGAGACTAAGGGCATTCTCTGCACAAAGATTCACAATGGATTTAGCACATAAAGGAAGTATGAAAATTGAACTAATAATTATATATAAAAGAGAATGAAGGTGTCAGGTAACTATTCAAGGATAAAGTAGTAAGGTAAAAGTAAAGTAAGAAAAGAAAAGTGATAAAGTGTAATAACTACTAGGAAATGAGGGATAATATGTACAACAAAATGAAATAAAATTAACTAAAAGGTAAATAAAATAAAAGTAGCTAAAAACTAAATCAGGTCTTCATTTTAGCTGGAGGAGTAAGAGTTATCCTTTGCATCCTCTTCATCTTCTTCCTCTTCTGAGGAGCTGGAGCTGTCATCCTTTTCAGCTTCCTGGGTGTGTTCACCATTTTGCTGCAAGGAGAAAAGAAAATTGTGAGTGGAATGTGCAAGATAAGTAAGGGGCAAAGGTGTGCAGCACATGGGCAGGGAGTGATGAATCCAAATTTTATTGAATTATTACTACTCTTTTTAGTGTTCTTTAATAGAAAAAGCAAACTTAGAAAGTGTAAATAAGATGAAAATTCCATTTAGGTCAATTATCATAGGTTTCTTAATTTTTGGTTAATTTACATTGATTTACATAGATATAATTTACAATTTTGATCATTTGAATAATTGTGCAAGAATTTCTAGACTTATTCCATAGATTTTTAGCCTTTGAGAAAATTTGAGTTGAAAGTAGCCACTTTCAGAAGTGATAGTGGACACCACATCAAGCTAGATCCAGAGGGTAGACCAAAGTGATCACTTTTAGAAGTGATAGTGGACACTACAGAGACCCCTATTTGCAATAGTCCTACGCATAGCTATTTTCAAATCCATAGTGATAACTACAACAAGGGCCAAACTGGTACAACACTATGCATAGCCACTTTCAAATCTATAGTAGCTACGCGTGTTGCGCATAGCCACTATCACTTGCCATATTGACAACTCCAGAGAAAAATGATAGGACTGTGAGGCTGCATATAGCTACTATTGTTTTCATAGTACCTACTATGGATGACGACCACTTCATTATAAATGGATTTTTAGAAATTAGGGTTGGGAGCTTTTTACACTTTTAGATTTTTCCCATTTTGGGAACACTTGTAGAGCTTAGGTCAGCCTTGGGTGACAGTCAAGGACCCAACCTAGGGTTTGATTTACATTTTCTCTTTACTTTCCTTTGATTTTTACATTCATGTTATTGAATTCTCTTTGTTTTCATCTTGTATTTGTGAGACTCATCCTCATGGAGGGCTAAATCTTTTGTAATCTTTTAGTGAGTTCACTTGGATTCTTGAATTTCTGGGTTATGAATGTTAATACAATTCCTTTTCCTTTATGAATTTATTTTCCCTAATCCTTTGAATTTAATTAATGGTTGAATGAGGGGGACATTGCTTAATTAACCCTAATTCATTTTAATGAGATTCTTAACTTGGTTTGCTTAGTTCTGAGTTAATTTCTAAGGTTGCGTAATCTTGGGAAAAGGGTTGGAGTCCATTAAATTTGCTTAAATTTGTATGGAATTTTAAGGTTAATTCTTGCTTGTTGAATTAACCTAATTCAAAGGAAGAGGAAGAGTGATAAATGTTAAGAGGAATAGGGAAAGAGTCACGTGAATAAACTAAGGATTGCTACATCTTATTGGTTAACTTTTACAATTTCATTAATTACTTTTTACATTGAATCTGGAAATCAAAGAAACCCCCCCTTTTTAATTGCTTTCATAGTGAATGTTTGTAACATATTTAATACACATTTTCAGCCAAAGTCATCAGAGATAACCTAGGCTTGCATCCTAGACTACACAAAATTTTTCATACTTTGATGAGGATTGGCGACAAATCTTTATGCAATATGAGCGATCATTAAATTGGCGCCGCTGCTGGGAACTTTGGTGTTAATTTTGCATTGAATTTGTTAATCACTCTATTTCAGTGTTCTGTTTTTAAATTTTTTGCATTGTGAATATATTAGTATTGATATTGCTTCCTAATAGAAAGAGTAATTTTGCATCTAGGTACATAATTCTGCTGCTTTTCTACAACTTTTGATTGTTAGTTTCTGTGTTTTTAATTTCACTATTCTGCCCCTCTAAATTTTCTGCATTTTGCTCTGTTTTGCTGCATAATTCTGCAGAATTTGTTAACTCTGTGCTGCATCTATCTACTTATCACCACATTCTTTAGATTCTTAATTAAACCAAATGCTTGACAATGAAAGAACATTAAAGGAACTGGTTGCACCTAACGTAACTTAGCAAACTTTATACATACAGTATCCTGACATTGATGCACCTTTTGTTCTCAAGACCGGACTAATACACTTGTTGCCTAGATTTCATGGCCTTGCAGGTGAGGACCCACACAAGCACCTCAAGGAGTTCCACATAGTTTGTTTGACCATGAGGCCATAAGGTGTACCTGAAGAGTATGTTAAATTGAAAGCTTTTCCATTCTCTCTGATGGATGCAGCCAAGGATTGGCTCTACTATCTCCCTCTCGGATCTATTACCAGAAGTGTAAGTGAAATCCAAGTTGCTGATCATTTAGCCTTGAGGTATTTGCTAAAAAAGACATATTCTAAGCCTAGGCTGATAAGATGGATGCTTTTACTTCAAGAGTTTAGCTTAGAGATCAAGGATAGAAGTGGAACTCAGAATTTGGTAGCAGACCACCTGAGCAGAATAGAGGGAGTTCCTGACCCTATTCCACTTTTATATGATTTTCCTGATGAGCAACTCTTAGAGTTGTATGTTTCACAGGTACCCTAGTATAGTGACATTGTTAACTTTCTAGTAGCAGGGGCCTTTCTAGCAAATGTACCAAGAGCAAAATGGGAAAAGATTAACAGTGATGCCAAACATTACGTTTAGGATGACCCTTATTTATGAAAATTTTGCAATGATCAAGTCATCAAAAGATGCATACCTGATGAAGAGATTTCATCCATACTACAATTCTGTCATGCCTCAACTGTAGGACTGTATTGGCCCTCAATTTTCAAAGACTCATGGCAAACATATTCTCCTTGTGAGAGGAGGAGTGATTACTTAGAGACAAGAGATGCCCCAACAACCCATACTATATTGTGACATCTTTGATGTTTGGGGTATTGACTTCATGGGACCCTTCCCTTCATCTTTTGGTTTTCTTTATATACTTTTTGTTGTTGATTATGTCTCGAAATGGGTGGAAGCTAGGGCCACTAGGACTAATGATGCCAAGGTTATTGCAGATTTTGTCCATAGCAACTTGTTTTGCAGGTTTGGAATCCCTAGAGCCATCATTAGTGACCAAGGGAGTCACTTCTGCAATAGGACAATAGAAGTCTTGTTCAAAAAATATGAAGTTGTACACAAAGTTTCCACTGCTTATCACCCACAGACAAATGGACAAACTAAACTCTCTAACAGAGAAATCAAGAAAATACTTGAGAGAGTAGTACAGTCCCACAGAAAAGACTAGAGTCGAAGGCTTGATGACGCACTGTGGGCACACAGAACGACTTTTAAGACACCCTTGGAAATGTCACCATATAGGGTGGTTTATGGAAAAACTTATCATTTTCCAGTTGAGGTAGAACATAAAGCATACTGAGTAGTGAAGGCTTGTAATATGCATTATGACTCAGCTGGGGAACAAAAGAAGTTGCAATTGCAAGAGCTAGAGGAGATGTGCCTTGAAGCTTATGAGAACTCAAGAATTTACAAAGAAAAGACCAAGAGGTACCATGACAAGATGATATATAGGAAAGAATTTTCCATTGATCAAAATGTCCTTTTGTTCAACTCTTGCCTCAAACTCATGTTCGAAAAGCTCAAATCAAGGTGGATTGGACTATTTACAGTCACAAAGGTATTTTCTCATGGTGTAGATGAAATCCAAAGTGACTCCACTAACAAGAGCTTTATGGTGAATGGACACCGTTTGAAGCACTTCCTGCAAAGTCCAGTTCTTTTGGAAGAGGTTGAAGAGATTGACTTACATGCCCTTATCATGAACTTCAACCATAACCCTTGCCCTGAGTAATTCCCTTCATATGTAAAGCTAGTGATGTTAAAGAAGTGTTATGTGAGAGGCAACTCATAACTTGATTAAGAATTTTAGCTGCTCTTTTGCATTTAATAAAAGTCTTATATTTGAGCTGTAATAATTGATGAATTCTTGCATAATTCTGCTGCTCAAACCTTTCATTCTGCATTATACTTGTTATGATTTTCTGCATACTCTCAAAATTTTTACAGTGGTGAGATTGAAAATCTTGGACCAAATTCATGCATAAATTCAAGGAAGTCCAAGTATGGTAAAAAAAAATGAATGATCATTTCCACCACACAAGATAGTCACTCTGGGGAAGAAGTTTCAATTTCATCATGGGAGGTAACCATTTTCCCTATCATAGTAGCCACTTTTAGCTAAGGTATGTGATCCTGCTCTCTGTAGTTATCACTTTCACATTTAGTAGTAACCACTTTCAAGGCTTATGGGCTAACAAGAGTGCGCGTAGCTACTTTTATTTTCATAGTAGCCACCACAGATACATTGGAAAAATTCACAGGGAAACACTCTCTATAGCTGCCACTTACATTTCCATAGTGCCTACGCAGGGGTCCTTTTTTAGCAAACATGTTGCGCGTAGCTACTTTCATTTTTCATAGTAGCTACGTGCAATCCCATCATGCAGTTTTTAAAAATAGGCATTCTCTGTAGTTCCTACTTTCATTTTCATAGTGGCCACGTTCAACACCCTTTTGTAAAATCCCAATGTGCGTGTCTACTATGGTTTTGAAGCTGGCCACACCCAACGCACATATATGCAGAAAGTAACCACTCTCGCCCTCACTGTCACTCTCACTCTCACTCTCGTCCCTCATTCACTCAGAACTTCCCCTTTCGCACTCACGTCTTTGCACTAAAAATCCCATTTCTCTGCATTTTCACACCAATTTTGTACATTGATTCAAGTAATTTTCCAACCCCATATCTTCTGCGTTAGGGTTTTTTATTTCATAAATTGGAGGTTTTTTATTCTGCATGTCTGCGTTGAAATTGTCTGCAGGAATATGTGATTTCAGGCACAATTGCATGATGGAAAGGGATGAAGGTGTTTAATTTGGTTAATTTGTTGCATCTTATCAAGACCAAACCCTAAGGTAGCCACCCTTATTTGTGATAGTGATTGCTTCGTGCATTTTGCTACAATAGTGCTTACTCTAAGTTTACTCTATGCAATGGTCATTACTTTGTCTTGAAATTCACCTTTCTATGGTTGAATTGCACCGCACTTCACTTTGATTTAATCTACCAAGTGCAGAACCCATAGTGGTTACTGCCCTGTATACACATGATCCCTTAATGTTGTGCATTTTGATTTAAAAAGTGTTCACTTTGGAACTGCATTGCATTCATAGACTGCTAGGTGTGATGTTTCTCCTCTATCTCATTCAACCTTTCAGTCATAGGTTAGAGGATTTTTTATTTCTTTAAGATTGAGTGGCTGGATTCCCTTGAAAATAAGATTGTTGTGTTACTAGACCTACACCAAAAAAAGGTAAAGCAAAATTAGAATTCTTTGCAGCAGAATTTTGAGAATTCCAATTACAATACTATTGGTTTCTACTATTAGAATACTGAAAATTAGGTGGGAATGAAGGTTGTTGTCTCTAAAAGTTTCTCATATAATTAACTTGTTCTTGAGGTTCAGTTGTAGGTGCATCACATGCACCATTAACATGACTTCCTCCACAAAAATCACAAACAAGTTGCATGTTCTGAATTGGAGCAGGCTATAAATTGCTTATTTGCTGAGTTAGTGCAGCAATTTTCTTTGAAAACATTTGGTTTTGCTGGTTCTGAGCAGGGAAGGTCTCAAGAATTTTAGCTTCATATCCTCCACTCCTTGTAAAGTGTATTGAATTAGAATTTTGATACATAGATGAAGCCATCGTTTCTATAATTCGTTGAGCTTCCTCCAATGATTTTGTATTCAATGATCCTTTCGCAGCTACATCAATCATAGTTCTAGTGGCTGGATTCATTCCATTATAGAAAGTTTCCAGCTGCATCCATTCCGGTATGCAATGGTGTGGACACTTCCTCAATAACTCTTTATATCTCTCCCAAGCCTCATATACAGATTCCCCTTCTTGCTGCACAAATGATGTAATCTCTCCTCTTAATTTGGTAGCTTTAGATGGTGGAAAATACTTGGTAAGAAATTTGTTGACAAGATCTGTCGAAGTGGTTATGCTTCCTTGTGGTTGAGTTTGCAGCCAGCACTTTGCTTTATCTCTTACGGAAAATGGAAATGATCTCAATCTAATTACATCCTCGCTGACTCCATTCATCCTTATTGTGCCACAAAGCTGCAAAAAGTTAGAGATATGTAAGTTAGGGTCATCCAAAATTGAACCAGAAAATTGATCTTGCTGAACTAAATGAAGTAAAGCTAGTTTTATTTCAAAATGGTTGGCTTGTATGGTAGGTTTGACTATAGAGGAGTTATATCCCTGAATGTTAGGTACTGCATAATCCCCTAAAGTTCTCATCATGTTCTGTTCAGCCATTATCTTCTCTTGAGGTGTAGGTGGTGTAGGAGAAGGAATTTGAAGTTCTTCTTATTTAGGAGTAGAAGGAGTAGATTCCAATACTTGCTCTTTGCTTGTTGAATTTCCTACTCTTAATTCGTTTCTCAACCTTCTTAATGTTCTGTCTATGTCTGGATCAAACACAAGAGCAGTCTTGCTTTTATTTTTTTCACGCGTATAACAAAAAGAAAACTAAACACAACAAAAATACTAAAAAAAATTACCAAAATACAGAACAATATAGTGCAGAAGAGTTACTAGCAGAATATCCTACAAGAAATTAAGAAAGGAAACTAACATCTAAACATTTAACTAAACACAACATACAATGGTACATAATTTATATAGAACTAGACAACAACAATATGCAAAAAAACTAGCAAAAAGGTAATACAAAATTCAATTAATAAAAACATAATTTAAAAGAAAATAGAAAACAAACAGATCAATCTAGTTGTCTCCTTACTATTAATGATATTGAAAAGAAAACAGAAAACAAACAGCTCAATCAGGTATTTTTTATGAAATGGTTGTGTAAAAGATTGATATATGATATCTTTTTTGCATAATAGACTTTAGTGTAACAAGAGGATATAAAATTGATTGATTGAATGAAATACAAATATAGAATTTCACAAGAAAACATAAACTTCAAAAAAAAATTCATAAATTGATTTTATTTATTTAACCTTTAATTATTTGCTTGGGTACAAACAAAATTTTAAGTTTAAATTAAGATAAATTCACATTTTAAGTATATCTATAGAATTAATTATGTAGAGAAAAACAATCAAAGAAGTGAAACTGTATAAGAAATCAATCAATAGATTATATGAAAATTTTGTAATTACTCTTAAAATTAACTTTCTTGCAAATTTCTCAGTTGAAATTATCGAATTAATGCAATTATAGGTTTTGATGCAATGAAGAGCAAATTGGAGACAACTGAATTGCAATTAAGGTAAGAAACAAGATGGCAGAAAAGCTAAAAGTCATTTGGTGAAGGCGTTGAGATGTCACAAAAACACATTTTGCCTGGCAGAATCTTTAAACTCAAGCACAAGTCCTAACATCCAACTTTTAATGTCTCAAACTTCTAGCGAGTTAGAAAATTATCTACAATTTTTTAGAATCTCTTAAAGTTAACGTGTAACGTACTAACTTGGAGCTAATATGAATAAGGAATGTACAATTGTATAACTTCATGTTAAGCTGTGAAGTGTCTATATTTTGGTTTTCTTTGCAATATTTTCTCTTTTCTTTTCTTCTACTCCTATTTTGGTTTTTCCATTGTTATTTCATTTCAGTTTATATGAGATTGGGACAACACCGTAGAAATTATTTCTATAGATATTTTCTCCATGCTCATGTTTTTCTATTTTTTTAATATATTTCTAATTTTGTAAGTTAAGATATGATAGATTCTAAATTGAAATTCATATAATCTTGTATTAGTTGAATTTATATCATATTTTTATGATAGTTTGCAAAGAATTAGTCTTGAATTTAATGTTACATAGGATTCAAATGCATGATTTTAGAGTATAACTCACCATGGATACATTGGTTTCGTGCTAGGAACTTAAATGAGTTTTAGCATTTCATATTGTTGTTATTGATTATTGAACTTAATGTTGTTCTTAGTGTCACACAATTAGAGAATTAACTAGCAAGTGTACTAGGCAGTTGTAGCAAGTAATAAAATTTGGAATTCAATATGAGCCCCAAGTATCATCCACAAGGATCTTATTTCAATTACCACTTCACAATTTAACAATTAGTTGAGCAAAACAATTCATTAAGAGGTTTGTAACATGTGAAAGTAAGAAATAAAGACAATAAAAGGTAATAAACTTGCTGTAAAAACAGAATACGAATTTTGTATTAAGAATGTTATATGAAAAATAGTTAGGAATCACTTCACCAGATTTTCAATTGCAATGTAATCATGTTCTGAACTCTTGAGAATTTTAATGGATTGATAATCAATTTCACTTTTTTAACCAAAGGACAATTCCTTGCCTCATTGATCCTAATATCTAATTAAATCTCCCTAATCCCTTAGGTAAAATTTAATCAAATACTGCATTAAGTTCTGGAAATTATAGGATTACTAGATCATGATACTTATTCCTAAGATCTCAATAACCTAGGCATATGATTCAGATCTGAGAAATAAACTCAATTTCCATTGATGAAAATTTCTCTAATTTCAATTGAATGAAGGATTAGTTCACAACTGCATTAAGAACAGAATCACATACTCAATTCAATTAAAATCTCAAGATTCAATCCACAATTACATCATAACATCAAATCTAGATCCATAGATCCCTAACCAAAAAGGTTTAGAACAACATTACAATGGAGAAAGGAGAAGTAAGAGAAGAAGAAGACAAGAAGTAGAAGAACATCTTCAAAGACTCAATCTTTACTCTGATT